TCACTGATGATTTCTACCAGATATTTTTTTAAAAGAATTAATACTAATTCTTCACAAACTTGTCTGAGATATAAAGAAGGAACATTTCTTTATTCTGTGAGGCCAGTATTATTTGAAAACCAAAACCAGGCAAAGACATCATACAAAAAGAAAACTGCAGACCAGTATCACTAGTGTGTAAAACTACACACTAGTATAATCCCAAAAAGCCTTAACAAAATATTAGCAAACCAAATCTAACAATGTATAAAAACTGTTATATACCACCATTAAGTGAGATTTGTCTTAGGAATGCAAGGTTGGTGTAACACCGCAAATCAATTAACTTGTAATACAGTGTATAAATCCAATACCTATTCATCATAAAAATGCCCTGTAAACTGGAATAGCAGGGAAGTTCATCAGCCTGACCTCAGAAATGTACAGCTAATATATCTGTTGTTTAGTCACTAGGTCATATCTGATTCTTTTGCAACCCTATGAACTGTAGCCTGCCAGGGTCCTCTATCCATGATTTCCCAGGCAAGAATACTGGAGTGGGTTGCCGTTTCCTTTCTAAGGGGATCTTCCTGATCAGGGATTGAACCCACATCTCCTTCATTGGCAGACACATTCTTTACAACCGAGCCCCCAGGGAAGCACAGCTCACATCACACCTAATAGTAAAAGACTGAACAGCTTCCCCCTAAAATCAGGTAACCACCTCTCTGTTTGGTGTTTTACACCAGGTTCTAGCTTTGGAAGTTAAGTGATAAAAAGAAATGAAAATTATCCAGAGTATTAAAGAAGAAATAAAAGTGTGTTTGCAAAAGACATGGTATTATATATATAGAAAATCCTAAGGAATCTATAAAACACTATTAGATTTAATCAGGATCAGCAGAGTTGCAGAGTACAGCATTTAAAAAAAAATAGTTGAATTTCTATACATTATCAGTGAACAATCTAAACGTGAAATTAAGAAAATTCCATTTATAATAGCATTAAAAATATTAGAAATAAATTTAACAAAAAGTGTAAGACTCATATACTGTAAATGACAAAATATTGTTGAAAGAAATTAAAGAAGATGTAGATTAATGAAAAGATATATCATGTTCATGGTTAGGAAGTCTCAATATTGTGAAGATGGCATTTTGTCCCAGATGATCCACATGTTCCCTGTCAAGACCCTAGCTGGTTTCTTTGCAGGAATTGGCCAAGTTTATGATAAATTCATATGAAGATCCAAGGGACTCTGAGTAGCCAAAACAATCTTAGGACAAATGGACAGGTCTTGCACTTCCCAGTTTCAAAGCTTACTACAAAACTGTAATGATCAACATAGTGTGTACTGGGATAATGACAGATTATATAGAGATTGATGGTATAGAATTGAGATGCAGAAGTAAACTTCATTGCTGGTGATTTTTCACAAAGGAAGCTGGACCCCTTCCTTACACCATGTAGAACAGTTTAGTCGAAATGGATTGTAGACCCAAAAGTAAGTCCTAAAATGGTAAAGTGACCCCATGGAGTAGCCCACCAGACCCCTCCATTCCATGGAGAACGTGCATGGAATTCTCCAGGCAAGAGTACTAGAGTGGGTAGCCATTCCCTTCTCCAGGGGATCTTCCCAGCCCAGGGAATGAACCGTGTCTCCCGCGTTGCAGGCAGTTTATTTACTGTCTGAGCCACCAGGGAACCCCTTTTAGAAGAAAACAGGAGTAAATCTTCACAGCCTTGGGTTAACCGCTATTTTTTTTAGATACAACAGCAAAAGCACAAGTGGCCAAAAAGAAAAAAGACAAATTGGGTTCATTAAAATTAAAAACCTTTTGTACTGCTAAAATAGTACCAGTGAAGTGTCAAGAAAGTTCATGAATGGGAGAAAATATTTGCAAATTATATATCTGATGGTGAACTTGTATCCAGAATATCAAGAATTCTTACAGCTCAGCAATAAAAAAAATGTGGTGGTGGTTTAGTTGCTAAGTTGTGTCCAACTCTTTGTAATCCCATGGACTGTAACCCTCCAGACTCCTCTGTCCATGGCATTTCCCAGGCAGGAATACTGGAGTGGGTTGCCATTTCCTTCTCCAGGAGATCTTCCTGACCCAAGGGTCAAACCCACAGACCTGTGTCTCTGTACATTGCAGGCAGATTCTTTACCCCTGAGCCACCAGAGAAACCCCAAAAGATAAATAGCCCAGTTAAAAACCAAGCAAACTGTATGAGTATATATTTCTCTGAAGGAGATATTTGAATGGCCAGTGGGCTTCCCTGGTGCCTCAGATAATAAAGAGTCCACCTGCAGTTTAGGAGACCCAGGTTCAATCCCCAAGTGGGCAACATCCCTCGGAGAGGGCGTGGCAATGCACTCCAGTATTCTTGCCTGGAGAATTCCATAGACAGAAACCTGGTGGGCTCCAGTCCAGGGAGTCACATAGAGTTGGACATGAGTGAGTGACTATCATTTTAATTTTCAAGCAAACAAAAAGATGCTTAGCACCAGTAGTCATTAGGAAAATGCAAGTCTAAATCATGAGATACCACTTGTTACATATTAGGATGGGTGTAATAAAAAAAATTATAAATATCCACGAATATGTGGAGTGGAAACCCTCATTACTGTTGGAAATGTCATGTGGTGCACAACTTCAGAACATGGCTTGACACTTCCTTAAAATGGTAAGATAGTTAACCATGTGATCCAGAAATTCCACTCCTACCAAGAGAAATTAAAATATATATCCACACAAAATTTGTACACAGATATTAAAAGCAGCGTTATTCATAACACAGTAGGCAAAAAGTAGAAACAACATAAAAGTTCATCAGCTGATGAATGGTTAAAATGTTTATCCTTAGAATGGAATGTTATTTGGCAGTAAAAAGGAAATAGATATTGATACCTGCTACAACTTGAATGAACCTTGAAAACATTATTTTAGGAAAAAAAAGTCACCAAAAACCCAAATATTGTTTAATTGTGTGAAATTTCCAGAACAGATAAGTCTTATAGAGATAGAAAATAATAGAGTGGTTGACTAAGGTTGGGAAAATGGGGAGTGACTGTTACTGGATATAGGGTTTCCTTTTGGGGGTACAAAAATGTTCTATAGTTAGATTATGGTGATGGTTCTACATTTCTATGGATATACTGAAACATTGAATTTTACTTTAAATGAATGAATTATATGGTGTGTGAATTATAAACTGAAACTATTTACAAAACAAAATGAATAGATATGGCTACAATTGTTATGAACTAAAAGTAAGCTATATATTTCAGAGCACAAATTGATAAAATTTGTAAATGTTTGATTCAAGAAGGACATGTAGCAGTTGCCTTACTGAATGCTAGATTAGTTGCTCTGTGTTGATTTAGGTTAGAAAATAGCCTGAATGCTACATTAAAGATAAAGTGTAGATAATTCTGTTCAACTTCAACTATACTGACTAAATATAGGACTCAGGACACTTAAATAGTTATGCCATGTAATGTATGATTTTTAAAAATCAATAAGCAATGAATGGCATTGAAGTGTAACAATGCAAATAAGGATTTTATCAAACTCTCTAATACCTGTTCCTGATACGTTTTAAATGTTAAATTTGTATCAAAATTAGATTGTGATTCATTTTTAAAAGTTACTTTCTTAATAATTTCCTTCATCCATAGAAGAGAATGTTGGCAAAGAACTGTGATAAAGGTTTTTATAATGATTTGTAACACTTAAAATATTTTAAGAAATTTTAAACTAATGTGGCAAACATACAGTGTCTTACAGAAAATGTTAAGGAATCATTGTTTTAGTTTGAGTGTGCAAGAGAGTTCTTCATAGTGACCTATTTGTTTACAATGTATAATGTCCTTCCAAAAAACATTTTTGATTGCACTGTTGACACAGCCGAGTCATGGGGAAATCATGGAAAGTAGATGGCATATATCACTGAGTATATTTAAAATTTATGAGCAAATCACTTGTGAATTGTAATGTGCCTTGAACGTTTACTTCCTTTTCATTGTGCCAAGGTATGTCCCATTTTCTTTTAGTATTTAGAGCACTTTAAAGTTTTTCATGATACAAGTAAATGCGTGTGTTAATGCATTGCAGTGAAGTAAATTATAGGCATTTGAACTCAAAATATGTGCTTTGTTTTTCTTTATACTGTTTTCTGTCATCATAATTTACTCTTTATTTATAAACTGCAAAGGTGGAAGTAAGTGCAGAGCATTGTCAGCCTAGACCAGTTCTTTGCTGTCTGAGAGCATATTCTGAGAGTCATCTAGAATGGCATTTTGAAACTTTGATCAGGACCCACATTTTTATATTACAAACCTGTTCAAGCATATATATACATATATATATAATGTTGAAATGTTTACCCTTAAGATAGCGAAGTGTTTAACTCTTATAATACAATGCATTCTGTTTTTCAATTTTTTTCTCCTAGTGCTAGTTTTGACCCATTAATTTCACAGCCCACTAAAGATTTGAAAGCTATCACTTGTAAAATAGTACTCTAGGGACAGAATTATGAAGTCAAGTACCTTATTTTTGAGTTTCTCTCCTAATGGCCCTTAAAAAAAAATGTGTGTGGAGAAGACACATTATGCTGGTAGGGCAAACATGATTCTCAAATGAGATTTGGTGTTTAAGATGCCTTTTCATGTGAGTTGGGTTGTCTGTAAACTGTTGTTATAATGTAACAAGAATCGATGTATTTGAATGCTCAAAAGAAATTTTCCCTTTGGTAATTATAGTTCAATTAGAGTTAACCTATAAATTTAAGCAAAATTCATAATCAAAAAACACCCCAAATAATTTTTTATATGCATTTTGCTTTATACTTTTGTGGCGATAAATACTGTCCTGACTTGAAGTTCTAAAATATTTTAATTGTATTAGACTGATTTATCTGTTATTAACATTTGTATTTGATTTTGGATCTCTGCTTTTGATGTTGAATGGGGAAGGATTTTTGTGCAAACATTTCATCAAATATTTTTGCAGGGACACTTAGTCGGTCTGGATGAGCCAGCTTCGGGAGCTGGGCAAGAAGCTCTGCTTAAACAAGAGCAAGCAAAAATCATTCGATTCGAGAGACAAGCAGAAGAGTTCCTCAATGCAGTCTTTTGTAGAAAAGGTTGGTTCCAGTGAAGAATGACAGTATCTGCTTGTCTTATCAATGTCAGTTTTTAAAAGAGTTAATTTTAAACACATTTTTTATTTATTGATAGTATACTTTATAATTTTCTATATTCCTTTGGTCAAGGTAAATTGGAATGGGTGATGCAACCCTCTCCCTCCTTTTTGCTATGCAGTGATGGTGCCATGTAAGATTTAGTTAAATAATTCTTAAAATTATTATGAATGTGTGAAAATTGTAAGGTCTCCGTAGTTCTGTATTTTTTAGACAAATTTTCTTACCTAAATAGTCACTGTTGGGACTTCTTTGATAGTCTAGTGGTTAGGATTCCAGGCTTCCATTGCCATGGCCCAGGTTCATTCCTTCATCAGAGAACTAAGAATCCCACAAGCTCATGATATGGTAAAAAAAAAAAAAAATGAAGTCACTATTTTAGTCACTGATAACCATAAAACTGTATAGAATTTTAATAATTCCTCATTGAAATTTCATTTGGAGGAAAAAGTTTTGTCTTAAAATTAGATCTGCAAACCTTTTTTTCTCCTTGATACAGCCTTGTTTTACTAAAAATTTTAAGTATTAAAGAAACAAATTCTTTCTAAATGAATTTGTTTTCCTTATTTATGCCATCCCTCTAGTTCCACAATGGTGGTTACTATGATAGGCTCTAAAGAAGTTTTTTTAATTTAATCTTCAGCAGACTCAGTGATTCCACTTTCTTTAATATTTGTCCATATGTTGTAGTTTACACCTCTCATTCCTTTGAAAGTGGCCTTCTCTCTTCCAAAGTTTGAAGGGTAATGTTTGTCGATATACTAGTTACAAGTCTGATAAGTGCAGATTCCAACGGGTTGGTTACATACACTTGGAGACTAGCTGAGCTTCTGTTTAATGTGATCGATATTTTCAAAAGGGAATATTAAGTAAAGTGACATGTGAAATTAAGGAGTACAGAAGGGTTTTGTGTTCAGAGGCACTTTTTTCCCCTTCTTTTTCCATCAGATCTCCAGAGAAGATTAAATCTTTTACTACATCCTCACTTCCTTTAATATCCTCTAGTACCCTCTGACAGAGAAGGCAATGGCACCCCACTCCAGTACTCTTGCCTGGAGAATCCCATGGATGGAGGGGCTTGGTGGGCTGCAGTCCATGGGGTTGCTAAGAGTTGGACACGACTGAGTGACTTCACTTTCACTTTTCACTTTCATGCACTGGAGAAGGAAATGGCAACCCACTTCAGTGTTCTTGCCTGGAGAATCCCAGGGACAGGGAGCTTGGTGGGCTGCTGTCTATGGGGTCGCACAGAGTAAGACACGACTGAAGTGACTTAGCAGCAGCAGCAGTACCCTCTGACCTCGAGCTCCCAACCAAGGCCTCCATGCTCACCATTTCATTTCCGTAATACCCTGATTCCAAAGCTATGTTCAAAACGTCAGTTTTATGAACATTTGAGTGTTTTATTAAAGTAACTCACACTTAAAGTATAAATGACTGATAGATCAGTCCTGAGTTTATTAACTAAATAAAATATCTTTCCAGCTTCTCTACTGTTCACTCCTTTAGGAAGTGTACTGGGTCATGGGTCTAATGCTGCAGGAAACATCATTAACTGAAAAGAGGAACTCTTTTTCCTAATTTACATGGAAGAACCACTTTTAATCTACTCTGCTTAGGGGGAGTTAGTGAGGTTAATCACAAGCAGATTCTTCAGGAGATTCTAGCTTGCTTCTCTACTAGTCCCATCCCTTTGTTGTATAGGAATAATGTAGTTTAAAGTTCTTGTAAGTGTTTTTACCTAGAAATTAAATTTAGGGGTACATACCTGTTAGGGGAGGAATTCTTACCTTAGAATAGGTCTTGAGAGATGAGAATCCTCTGAAATTGTAGAATTGTTTGTATATTTGTCTGTATACTGGCATATATGATGTTTAGAAAAAGAAATACTGCTTTGCAGTTGGAAGTTTCCCCTTTATGTATTAATGTTGTTACTTTTAGATTTTTTATTAATCCTCTTGGGAATGTCTCAAAAATGGGCATTAGTAGGCTTCAAATTGATACCAAAAAATGTTCCAGAGATGTAACAGGCAATTTAATCTAAGGAGAATATTTTGTTTTTAATAAATAATTAAGATATTTGGATTTAATCGTTTGTTTCCAGAGTATTACAAATTGTTTAAATAATTGAGTATGAACAGGTTATCTGTAGCTAGGTAGAAACATTAGTTCCAAATAAAAGTAGGTTTTTGTGGTATGGACTCTATATAATAAATTCCAATTTAAGGACAGTACAGCTGTCAATCATTTCTTTTCATCTTGCTTTGTCACTTGTCTCAGAAAATTTGACACTTTCCTAAAAGTTAGATTTGTATTTTAAAAACATAACAGGTGGCTGTGATGTAGCATTCACGTGTTTTTCTGTAGTTTTAACTTTGACCTGATACGTTGTTTTTATTTGACTCAGTTGTGCATGTTCCCCTGAGGATGGCTAGGTTTATAGATGTTGTGTTTTAAGTAAATTAAAGAATGAAATGCTTCAAGAAATTTTCAAGAGACATAGCAGGAAATGATCTTTGATCATAAACATGAACTGTTTCATGATTATAGTAGTTATTCAACAGAGAAGCAAAATATGCTGCAGACATTTAAAGATCAAAAGTAGCAACTTATGGTTTTTATCCTAAAATCTTTGACTCTTTGCAAGTCTATTTAATATTTATTAATCTAGTTAAACACAGATATCTCATAAATTCATTTTGCTTCCTGTTTGGAAGCTTTCTTCTTTATGTATTATTTTCCAGCTTTTCAGAGGATAAAAAGATATAGTGACATATTAAAATTTTAAATTATATACATTCAGAGGATTTTATGATACGGAAGGAAAAAAAGTTAAATGACTTTCTACTTAATAAGAAATCCTAATAAGAAAACCCAGAGTAGAGAGATTGTAAAAAGCAATACATGGCTAAAATGGTCACTAAAACTTTTCAGGAACCACTGTCAGTGATTGTCGTAACTTCTGAACCTTAATTACCTAGTTGAATACATTTATTCTTTAACCATGTAGCATACCCATAGTCTCTTTTATAGAGAGGAAACTTAAGATTGAAAATACTTTATAGTAGAACAGAAATGTTATTATTGATAGAACAAACCTTTTTAAACTCCAAAGAATTAAATATTCTGACTTTAGGATATGACTATCTTCCGATATTGAATATTGTCCTTCAGGAAAAAAATTTGTTCTTGGGAGTCCTGTTTGGTTTAATGATCTGTTTGGTTTTTAGATTTTAGTGATAAATTAATAACAATTAGTCAGTTTTTCTCAAGGTTCCTTATAGCTCCAAAATACTATGGGTAAAGTAACTGACCTTCTGTGGTTAATTTTTAAAAGAGTAAGGAAACTCAGGTTTTCTGAGACCCATCTTCTAAAGCCTAGGAAGGCTTTAGGCTTCCAGCCTAAAATATGGCTGGAACGTTTTAATCAAGGGTCTATCACTACGCATCTGCACAAAATTGAACAGGCCATTTACCTTTAGATCACATTTATCGCATTTGTTGCTTTTGTTTTTTTAAGAACTGTTTGTTGACTGATTTGATATTGATCCATTTATTAGTCAACTAAATACAAATGCATACTTTACACCAAGATTAGGTATTGAGAGTACAAGAGTAAACAAACGTTATCTCTGCTTTTCTCAAACATTTAATCTCCCTGATAGTGTGTTAATGACAGAGACGTGATGATAATATATTTATGCAAAATGTTTTCCCTTTTATTTTACTTTCAGGGTCTCTTCCAGTCCTGAAGGTTTTATAAGTTAGTGAATTCATATGGTCTTTATTTTAAAATTAACATTGATTAGAAATTGATAGCTTAGATATTTATTACTTCCCTTTCTATTGTGTTCAGTGGTTGGTAGAGCATAAAGTAACTTGGTCTTAAAGTTTTGAGGTTTGACATTTAAACTCCTAGCCTAGAGATTCTAGAAGTATAGTCCCCAGACCAGCAGCATCTAGAAACTTGTTAGAAACACCAGTTCCTGAGCTTACTGTAGAACTGCTAAATCAGTAACTCTGGAGAAAGGACCCAGCAATCTCTTTTTACAAACCCTCAAAGTGGTTGTAATGGGTATTAAAACGTGACATCTGTTGCCCTGGCCTATCGTGAATCTTAAGTACTTCCTCTTATAATGTTGATATGCCTGCAGTCTTTTAGCAGAAAGTGTTCATTCTTCAGTAATATAGGAAGATAATGGTTGTAGGATCTAGGGGAAACCAGATGTGATCTATATAGGTGGTAAACAGGGGAGTAATCATTTCATTAAAAAGGGGTTTTGGGATTTCTGTATCAGGTAAGTGATTCTTACCCATATGATATACTATTTGTTATCCCTTCATATGACTTCATATTTGGGGGTGGGGGCGGTATGTAGAAATAATTTTATTAAATTTTTATTTTAAAAATCAACTTCTATAAGCCTGCAGATTAAAAATATAACTCTTAAGAGGGAATACTATTTTTAGGATATTGCATTTTAAGAAAGAAAAATAAAATGAAATTTTGTTTGCTTGAAAGCTGTCTCTTTTTAGTACATTGTCCCACTTTAAAAGTAAATAAATCTTTGTTTACAGACAGTCCCTGGGTCTCCGACCCCAATATTCCCCTAGTGGCCCGTGAGATCATGCAGCGAATGATCCAACAATTTGCTGCTGAATATACCTCAAAAAATAGCTCTACTCAGGACCCCAGCCAGCCCAATAGCACAAAGAACCAAAGCCTGCCGAAAGCATCTCCAGTCACCACCTCTCCCACGGCTGCAACTGCTCAGAACCCTGTGCTCAGCAAACTTCTCATGGCTGACCAAGACTCACCTCTGGACCTTACTGTCAGAAAGTCTCAGTCAGAACCTAGCGAACAAGGTATGGTTTGATGTCAAAATCTCCTCTGTCCAATAGAATACTTTTAATTTGGGGAGAAAAAAGGTATTGGCATGTAGGGCATCACTAATGTGATTTTTAAATTATTCTGGACTCTGATAGAGAAGAAGTATAAATTGGCTACCTTACCCATCAGTTCACAGTCATGATTGATGTACCACCTGGGAAAGTCAGGTGGTTATATTGTTACTTGATATTTTTATAAGTATTGCATACGTTCCAAAGCATTGTCATACCCATTGTTTTTAAAATCCTATTGAAAAATTAACTTTCCCCCCTTTCCATCGATGTTTAGGATTAGCACCTACCTGAGGAATAAATACATCTTGTTAGGTAGGAGTTAAACTCTGCACGTGAGATCATGAGGCAAAAATATGTATTGCTTGCATTTTTAAACAAGAAACTCAGGGGATTAAAAATATTGAGAAGACAGTAGAAACACTTTGGATTATTAAAATATATTCAGTATTTTATAAATACACATACATACACTGTATTATGAACTAGTTAGAATATTTTCAAAAGGTAGTCTGTTGGTGAGGGTGCTAATTAAGTGAAGAGACTGAGGGGTATCAGTTTTGCAGAGCAGCTATTTCTTGAGTCTTTGAAAAGGTACTCTTAAGTATATTATATCTTTGTTGCTTTGTGATCTCATTTTACCTTTAATTTCACAAAGATGAAGTAAGCATTTCAACTTGGCCACTGTTTGAACCACTACAAGTTATAGATTAGTGATATCTGTATTCCTGAGATTTTATTGCCATAGAATTGAAGTCTCATAAAAGTGTGAATTTATTGGTGAGAAATACATTTATTTTGCAGAGTAAGTTTAATTCATGTAGGAATCTCTTTGAAAGAACTTTATTTTGCTCATTTTAAGTAGTTTATGAAGTAATGACATTTAATGGGCTGGCTTTAGTTGCTTCTTAAAGAATATTTTTTTGAATAGCTTTCCTTTGCCTTCTTTCTCTTTCTGTGAGTGAACAGCAGTCAAAATCTCTTAAGATTTCCTAGCAGGAGACCTTCTAGACCTCTTTTGGTTACCATGTTGTTTATAAAGTTCTTCTTTTCTGTTTTATAGAGAATTGTTTTCTTTATCACAGATTGGTAGTTCTCATTAACAGTCTATTTGCTCTAAATGTTGCATTTCAAACTTCAGGTTTACAATAGGAGAATGATGGCATAGAGGTTGTGTCTAAAGTATTAATAATGGAGATTAACATGCAAAGATACACATTAGTCTAATTTAACTTCTTATAGCAAGTGTTATACTTGAAAAGTATGTTGTATTGACAGCAAAAGAAATTTGAATTATATAATAGGATTATAGTATATCAACTTCAAATGAAACATTTCTAAAATTATTTTTCCTAACAAATTTTAATGTGTTTTCAACTTAAATCACAAATTTTCAGTGGTAGATTTGAAGTATGTTGTCTATAATATGATTATACTATGAAAATACTACTGTGTTTGGTTGGAAATATTTTAAGCAGTGCATTTTCTTGTTAGGAATCTAATTGGATTGAATCTCTAATGGAATACTTGGTTCTATAAGATTTCTAAAAGACAACCTGGTGTCCGTCCTTTGAATGAGTTATGGGCTTTTTTTGGTTTATAAACTGAGTTGCATATTTATTTCTAACTGCCTGAAATAGGGAGTTACAATGTCCTCAGACACAAGTCTTTAATATAACCAGATAGCAGGCCTCTCTGCCTACCAACTGAAAATCAGAGGCATTGAGTATTCCAATTTTGAACAGAACAGCGGCTTTAAAAGTTATCCAGACTATGAGTTTTCTTTTCTAGACATGTCTACAGGGGAAAAAAAGGCTTTGGGTAGAGTTTAAGTCTTCTATTTTATGTTCGAATAACATGAATTTGTGATTTTATAGTAAAAGAAAGAAATGATTATTCCCTCAAGGCTCCCATCAGTATCAAGGCCATGTCATTCTTCTTTCTTTTCTTAAACTTTGCCATCAATTTATAGTAGCTTATTAATTGAAAAATCTTGCCTTTGTAAATATAAGCAAGTAAAATTTGGATCTCTGCTGATTTTCCCCAAAAGCTTGAATCCAAATATACAGACTTTTGCAGATGTGTCCCAAATAGTAATTTGGATGTGAGCAAATTATAAACAGTTAACAACTGATTCATCTTGCATATTATCTTATACAGTATATATGTTTAATATGACCATATAAATTTGTTTTTAAAAAGAGTTTTGCATTTAAATTTTTCTAAATCTAACTTTTATGTACCCCTGATATTTCAGGTGGCCTTAGCTCTTGAGAAATTTGGTTTTATAATTTGTATGACATTATCTCATTAATCTCATATACTTAAATCAAGGTAGTTTAAAAAATGACATCTCAAAAAGAAACAAAATAACATCTCATAGTTCCATCACAGAGCCTCATATGATGTAAACTGCTATTTCTAATATCTCACTGTATCTTAACATCTTTAGTGTTATGCTTTAACTTTTATTTTATCCTATTAATAAAATATTTAACCCTTGGAGATAGCAGATACAACAGACTTTGATAAACTTATGTCTCTTCAGGAGAAAAAATATCCTGATTCTATTAATGAATTGGTTTTGTAACTGAAAACATATGGCTAGTTTTATCTGTTTAGTTGACTAAGCCTACTGCTTTGACACTTTTAGCCTATTCAGTTCACATTGCTCCCAATTTTTAATATCCTCAGGTGTTTCTTTGTGTCTCTGCAGACGGTGTACTTGATCTATCCACTAAGAAAAGTCCGTGTGCTGGCAGCACTTCCCTGAGCCATTCTCCAGGCTGCTCCAGTACTCAAGGGAACGGGTAAGGGAAAATATTTGTGGCCTTCCACAGTTTTATAGGGGACAGTTTATCAAAGATTGATGCCAGTCTCCCTTGTATGTTTTAAAACAGTCCATTAGAGTAACACTTATGGTGGGTTACAGTCCATGGGGTCACAAAGAGTCGGACACGACTAAGCGACTAACACTTACAAGTGGACCTTTAGTAAAATTACTTTTAGTCTGTCAATCAAGTAAAGGCACAATCTGTGAAATCTAGAATTGGCAAGTATAGTCAATTTTGCCCGTTTAGTACAAATAGTAAATAATTAGGAATATGGCAAGAATGTCTTTGGATTTTTTGTTGTTGAGTGTTGAGGAATATGAACCCAACCTAAGTAATTCCAGAGTTCACATGTAAAGGTAGTGTTTTGTGTGCTGAAGTTGTTGAATGAAAATTGGGCTCCAGTCTTTAGCTTGGTATTGCTAACGGAGTATAGGGGCTGTTTGTTTTTTCCTTGCTTGTTTTGGTTTGGTTTGGTTTATTGATTTGAACTGCAATTTTAACTCTTGTGTGGCAGTTCAGAAAATAATTGTGTGTATTTTTTGTTTTTGATTAGATAAGACTGGTTGTCGGTGTTGATAGATAACCATCTTATGCTTCCAAGACATTATTACATGATCAGTTTTGAGAACTATTACCAGACTAAAGAGGATTTTCTAACCACCCAATTTTATAGTGTAAGAATTATCTAATTCTCTCTGTATGTGTACATAGTAGCCATTTTTAAAAGTCATATATTAATGAAGATGCTTAGATGCCATATTGGGAAGGCATTTCATAAAACTGTGTTGTGACCAAAAATAAGCTTCATCTAGATATGAAACATAGTTAATTACTTAGGTTTATTTAACTCTTAGAATGTCAACATGGGGAAGATATTTAGATATCAAAGGAGTAAGTAGGCACTAAATGAACTAACCTTTTCCAACTTACTCTTAATTACCTTCAAATCAAAGGATTCCTTTACTGACTTCTAAAATGAATGCTCCCTTTATTTTCTCTAAAATTCCATGATCTTCCTTTTTCTCTTCTCCTTTATTCAGTCTAAAAGTAACATACTGATTTAATTCATTTTGCATAGTTTACTAATCATTTTTTTCTTAAGCCCTCTTTTTCACTGTAGTTCATACTAGATATATATCTAAGTCATCATGGTCCCAAATCATTTGGTTCCATTTATATATCAAAAAACTTGAGTTGTGTAAAGAAGGACACGTGTAGAAGCCTAAATACATAAATAAATACATCCCTTGTATAAGATTTTCTTTAAACTTGGCCACCAGATCTGTGTACTGTATGGTTGAAATTGCTGTGTTTGTCCCTCTGAATGGAAAGTAAATGTACTCATTGTGGTAGAGTTTTCTGGAAGACGAAAGCACCAACAGTACTGCCCACCTTTTAGTTGAATTGTCATCCATATTATATTATTTACTGGTAACAGCAGAGTCCCTGTAGACTTTCGGAAAACATAGCTGATTTACCATTATTTCTGCAAAATTCTGCTTTTGTGCCTAATTAATGTAATTATTCCCCTTGGGCATGCTTTAGCAGTTACCAGTTTAATCGTTGATAAATCCTTCTCTACTGTAAAAATGAAAACCGTATGAATTAACTTTGTGTCAGTAGTTGATTTTTTTAAAGCATTATTTGAAAGTTACCCACTTAAAATTTCAAGATTGATGTTTGGTATTTTAAGAAGGTTTCCTTCAACTAAAGAAAATGCTAAAAAATTGTTTCTATAATTCTGACAATAATTACTTTGACTAGAACGTGAGGAACAAAGTTTTTGGGAAAATAAAGGGCAGTTTCTTTAAAGCTTGGATTATTTCAAATGGAAAAATGAGTGGTACTCGTGTATCTGCAACAAAATAGTGTTTTAAATGAAGAAATGTGGTAAGTTATAATTCGATGGGTAAAATTTTCATTGTTTTGGTTTGGGGTTCCCCCCCCATGTGGCTGCTAGCCATATTTTTTTTCCCCAAGCAAAATAAGAAATGTCATTTGGAGTTGCCTGATTTTTGATAAGAACATCAACTTGTTTGTGGGGATAAATGAGCAGTTATCGTGGGTTCCACCAATGTAAATTGTTCAAGTTTTATAGCTGGTTGTCATGAATGTTGAATATGTTGCATTAAAATAAATAATTTGGCTTACTCTTTTATTACTGTACTTGTTTAGTGGTAACGTCACGTTGGTAACACAATTCTTTGTAGTATGGAGACTTGATGATTACTTTGTTATTAGTAATTAAGGTGCTATTTTCAGACAGTTGCGCGAAACTTTTTCTCCGAATATTTGTGAACCCAACCAGAGACTAGCTGACAGGTTTAATTTTTCTTTGCCCAAAAGCTCCTGGTTTTTTTTCTTTTTCTTTTTTTGTTTTTTGCTTTTGTTTTTGTTTTTTGTGAACAAGTTTAAAACTAACTGCTGAGACCATTTTTTTTTTAAATTTTAGAGAAAATAAATAAATAACACAAAGTGATGTTACCCAAGCAAGGCGTTCTAATAAAGGAGTGGTCCCCTCACCCATCCCTCCCTACCTGTGCAAGTCCTGCTCACATCAGTTTCCTTCCATCCAATTAGGCGACCTGGGAGACCCAGCCAGTACCGCCCAGACGGACTTCGGAGTGGTGATGGGGTACCTCCAAGAAGCTTACAGGATGGAACCAGGGAAGGTTTTGGACACTCCACATCACTCAAAGTTCCACTGGCTCGATCCCTGCAGATTAGTGAAGAACTACTGAGCAGAAACCAATTGTCCACAGCTGCCAGCCTTGGGCCGTCTGGATTACAGAATCATGGACAGCACTTAATATTATCCAGGGAAGCCTCTTGGGCAAAACCACATTATGAGTTCAACCTCAGCCGAATGAAGTTCAGGGGAAATGGTGCACTCAACAACATCAGTGACCTTCCTTTTCTTGCAGAAAACTCTGCCTTTCCAAAAATGGCACTTCAAGCAAAACAAGATGGGAAAAAGGATGTGAGCCATTCATCTCCTGTAGATTTAAAGATACCACAAGTTCGAGGAATGGATCTTTCTTGGGAATCTCGCACTGGTGATCAGTACAGCTATAGCTCTTTGGTAATGGGTTCACAAACGGAGAGCGCGCTTAGTAAAAAATTAAGGGCTATTCTTCCAAAACAAAATAGAAAAAGCATGTTAGATGCTGGACCCGATTCTTGGGGCTCAGATGCTGAGCAGTCTACCTCTGGACAGCCATATCCCACATCGGATCAAGAAGGCGATCCTGGCTCCAAGCAGCCTCGGAAGAAAAGAGGGCGTTACAGACAGTACAACAGTGAGATACTGGAGGAAGCAATCTCAGTGGTTATGAGTGGAAAAATGAGTGTTTCCAAAGCTCAGAGTATTTATGGGATTCCCCACAGTACACTGGAGTACAAAGTAAAGGAGAGGCTGGGCACTTTGAAAAACCCTCCAAAGAAAAAGATGAAGTTAATGAGGTCGGAGGGGCCAGATGTTTCTGTAAAGATTGAATTAGATCCCCAGGGAGAGGCAGCACAAAGTGCAAATGAATCAAAAAATGAGTAGGAATACTGTAGAGTGCCAATTACTGTACAAACTGGGTGAGCACTACTGCATTGTTCAGCGGTCATTGCTGCACCTAACTTCATTTACTGTGACACTTGTTTCTTTGCAGACTTTGCATTGACCTGTGTGTACAGAGATGAAAGGTGCATTCTGAATGTTGCATATTTTAAATTTTTCATGTGCAGTATGGCTCGAGATATTGTTTGGCCTTTTTGCATGTTTCTCTACAAAAGAGAATTGAGTTACCTCACAGAGAACAGATACATGGAAGTGGACTCCTTGCCTGTAGAGCCTGCATGCTTTTCTTTCTTTTTTTTCCTTAAGTTATATTTGCCTTTATTTAAAAAGAAAAGAAAAAAGCCCCCTTTTAGAAACCACCTCTGTTGTTTGGGGAGCTTTATCACTGCAAATTGGAAAGCCATCTTATAAAATTATTCACATTTTTTTCTTTAGAGATTCAACTAATTTAAGGGTTAAACTAAAGAAACTAAGAACAATGAACCTTTGAATTTAAGAAATTTGACTATTCAATGATAAAGAATTCTTTGGATCAATTAACATTTTTATGGTTTCCTTCTCACTGTTAAGTTTACTTAACAAATCAGCAATCTGTTTAGTGCTCACCCAGAGGGGAAGGAGGTGGAAAATGTGCACACACTACCTTCAGAAATGCTTCGGTTAATTATGTTGTAACACTACCTTTGCTGTAATTTCATTTGGGATTTTCTAAGGGTAGAATTTGGTCTCACCCAACAAGTGAGGATATAGCCTTATCTCATGGAGGACGAGCTCCGTTCTTACTCAGGAGCAGTCAGGGTACATTACATAAAACAATAGAGGATGCCTCATTTTAGCAAACTGAGTTTCTTTGTATTCTTAAATCTTTTTACAGATTTGATCATGTGCTAACTAACGACTGAATGTCAGTTGCAGCAACTATTTTAAAATTTTTAAGATCTGTTTGTTGGGGGAAATGGGAGAAATGGGGGGAAATGTGTGTGAGTAATTATAATAATGCGAAAGTGGTATCTAGGTTTTACAGCCTCAGTAATCTGCTCAAATATCCACACAAGTGAAGAATCTGTGTTTATGGTGAGAGAAAAAAACACAACCCCAAGGTAACCTAATGTGATTTAGGTTGCATTTCAGTTCTAACAATAATTCAATCAGAAATCAAGCTCCTTAGCAATTCTTTTTTAACTAATTCAAATACTAGTACAAGGGGGGCAGGGATTTTTAGTTTTTAATTTAATTTGTTGTTTTGTACTTTTTTTTGGCATCCTACATACTATCCCTTTCTCAACTTTTCTGCTATTTAGCTGATTTTTATGGTTGTTTAGCACACCGTTAGCACAGGACCTTTCAGATTATGTTCTGTATAAGCACTCCTTAAAGAACATCTAAGCTTTTTTTTTGAGATGGGCTT